CACTCTCTCACTCTCTCACTCTCTCACTCTCTCACTCTCTCACTCTCTCACTCTCTCACTCTCTCACTCACTCACTCACTCACTCTCTCACTCTCTCACTCTCTCACTCTCTCACTCTCTCACTCTCTCACTCACTCACTCACTCACTCACTCACTCACTCACTCTCTCACTCTCTCACTCTCTCACTCACTCACTCACTCACTCACTCACTCACTCTCTCTCATTCTCATCAAAACAATAATCAATTAATTTATTCTTTCCAATTAAATTACAACAATATCTTACACAATGATTATTTCTTACCATTAGTTACAATGCTAATAGTAAATAGGAAAATATTGCCAAATGCTAAATGGAGTATAACAGGCATCTTTGGCGAGGAACCACACTAAGCTGGAAAGCTCAAAAAATATCTCATAAGCCTTCAGCCTTCCTAAAACTAAATACATATTATGCCTGATGTGTTCATTTACTTGACTTGTATATATCACAACAATTAATCATAACAGAATTTAAAATGAAAGTTAACACTATCAAAATCTAATTATAATAAGTTTCATATAAGGATCAGTGCTGGGCCACAGACACAGAAGTACATGTACCCATTTATCCAAAGAGCCTGGACAATCTTTACCCTCCCTCTCCCATAAATATAGGTACTTATAAACTTGAAACATGAAAGAAAAGCAAGCCTAACATCAACTACAGAACTGCAGCAAGACAAGTATTCATAGAAAAAAAAAAAAAAAAAAAAAAAAAAAAAAAAAAATCAATAAAAGACTACTCTCCTCACACCTTACACCCATCTTTCAACTGGGGCAAAGCTTCAAGCTCATTGGCTGTGAAACTGGCCATATGTGCAGCCCAGCGCCTCACACCAGGAAGACTATGAGGGGGATCAGATGGAATGCGGCCTGATTTAAGGAGGGCAAAATCAGCCTGAGTCGGCAGGTATCCACCCACGTAGCTGTATTCTGAGAGGTGACCATCGAGTATGAGCAGCTCCTGTGCAGACGGAATTCTTTTTTTGAGAATGGGGTTACATGAGTGGACTCCTCTAGATTTTTCTCTTTTCTCTTATCTACTGTTAACTTTCATTTCATGGCAGATGAAAAAAATTGGAGTAGATTTCAGATGCTATTGTAATTAATATAAGTAATATTATACAGATTATTATAATTTTCTATCACTCTTTCTTTGAATTAAATATTTTTCCCCAAAAATTTAATTGAATCTGTCAATATTCCTATCAAGTCAATTCATACATAAAAGAATTTTAAAAATGTCATTTCTATTTCAGAATAACTACAAAAAGTATTATTATTATACAATGAAATAACAATGCAAAGTATAAAAACTAAACAACATAAAACATATATACAAATGGATATAAAACTATAGAACCATAATATTAACTGTATTTCCCTACAGGTTGACAGCAAAGTTTGTTGTGACAATTGCTGAAAAAATGAGCATGAGAATTAATGATTCCACACTACAAGACACGTAATCACGGTTTTGATATTTGATCTTCATCAGAATCATTCAAATCCTGGAGATGAAGAAACATCAGAATATTAATTACATAACTTGCAAAGTGAAATAATTCTTTCTCATTCACATCTTTTACACAGGGATTATAATTAAGTAATCAAGTCCTGTGTATCCACCTTCATTTTTTTGCAATTGGGAAGGATGATGGCCCCCCCAAAAAAAACAGGCAAACATTATCTTCATCTTGGAATGTAAAGCAATATAAAGAAGTTTTGGAGCACAAAGTGGACCTCTGCTGCATGTGGCCCTTTCTGCAATCTTTTTTCTTTATTTGTAAGTTTACTATTATTTCTTTTACTTTTTGTCCTCTATAAGAACGTCATCTTTAATTTGCACTGTCTTGGTACATCCATACCTTAAAGATCAACCCATCTTTTTTTTTTTTACTGATAATCATGGTAATAGTAACTCTTTAAGGTATGGACACACTCACCAGAGACTAAGTCCCTAACTCCATGTCACAAAATTTACTTAATGATCTAAGTTGTCATGACTGGGTGTGCCTTTTGGGCACTGCCTGACGGGAGGGTTAATGGGGGCCTCTAATCCTTACACTCCCTAACAAAGATTGTCTTTACCTCGGTATGCATGTCAACAGAGCCAAGACTCAAGAGTACTGACTGGACTTAGGACATGAGTGGTGCTTTCCAAAATCTTTTTCCATTACTTGCACTATTACTGTTCATGTCCGCAGATTATTTCTTGAAAAAAATAACTGTAGATTTTATTCCTCTACAAGAATATAAGCTTCAACTTGCCCTACCTTAATGTGGCCATACTGTGAAGATTAACATAGTAATTTTTGTTTCACACAGCCATCCAATCTTGCAATGATTATCTTTTCTTCCTATTATTCAAAAAGTAATATTCATGAATCTGTTATGGTTTTCCATCACAAATGACCTGCACAGGAAATAAGTGAGTGCATTGGTAAATATTTATGAA